TTCTTCTTGCGCATCAGAGGAAAGTTTTTCAGCAACTTGTTCTTCTGCTTCTTCACTGGTAGAGGCAGACTCATCAACAGTTGGCGCTAGGTCTTCTACAGCTTCTTGTTTCTCTGGAACTTTCTCTACCTCTCTAACTGTATCTTCGAGAGGTTCCTGCCTTACAGCTTCTGTTAGTTCTTCTTGCGCATCAGAGGAAAGTTTTTCAGCAACTTGTTCTTCTGCTTCTTCACTGGTAGAGGCAGACTCATCAACAGTTGCGGCTAGTTCTTCTACAGCGTCTTGTTTCTCCGGAACTTTCTCTGCCCCTGTAACTGTATCTTCGAGAGGTTCCTGCGCTTACAGCCTCTGTTAGTTCTTCTTGTGCTTCAGAGAAAGATTTTTCATCAAGTGTTTCTTCTGTTCGTTACTGGTAGAGGCAGACTCATCAACAGTTGGTGCTAGTTCTTCTAGAGCTTGCTTCTCCGGAACTTTCTCTGCCTCTCTAACCGTAGCTTCGACAGGTTCCGCCTCTACAGCCTCTGTTAGTTCTTCTTGTGCTTCAGAGGAAGGTTTTTCAGCAAGTTGTTTTCTTGGTTCGTCAACTCGAATCTGCCTCTACCAGTGAAGAACCAGAAGAACAAGTTGCTGAAAAACTTTCCTCTGACGCACAAGAAGAACTAACAGAAGCTGTAAGGCAGGAACCTCTCGAAGATACAGTTAGAGAGGTAGAAGATGTTCCAGAGAAACAAGAAGCTGTGGAAGACCTAGCGCCAACTGTTGACGAATCTGCCTCTACCAGTGACGAACCAGAAGAACAACTTGCTGAAACCCCTTCCTCTGAAGCAGAAGAAGAACTAACAGAGGCTGTAGAGGAGGAACCTGTCGAAGCTACGGTTAGAGAGGCAGAGAAAGTTAAGGAGAAGCAAGCTCTAGAAGAACTAGCACCAACTGTTGATGAGTCTGCCTCTACCAGTGACGAACCTGAAGAACAACTTGCTAAAAAACCTTCCTCTGAAGCACAAGAAGAACTAACAGATGCTGTAGAGGAGGAACCTGTCGAAGCTACGGTTAGAGAGGCAGAGAAAGTTCCGGAGAAGAAAGCTCTAGAAGAACTAGCACCAACTGTTGATGAGTCTGCCTCTACCAGTGACGAATCAGAAGAACAACTTGCTGAAAAACCTTTCTCTGACGCAAAAGAAGAACTAACAGATGCTGTAGAAGGGGAACCTGTCGAAGCTACGGTTACAGAGGCAGAGAAAGTTCCGGAGAAACAAGACGCTGTAGAAGAACTAGCCGCAACTGTTGATGAGTCTGCCTCTACCAGTGACGAACCAGAAGAACAACTTGCTGAAAAACCTTTCTCTGACGCACAAGAAGAACTAACAGATGCTGTAGAAGGGGAACCTGTCGAAGCTACGGTTAGAGAGGCAGAGAAAGTTCCGGAGAAACAAGAAGCTGTAGACGAACTAGCACCAACTGTTGATGAGTCTGCATCTACCAGTGACGAACCAGAAGGACAAGTTGCTGAAAAACTTTCCTCTGAAGCACAAAAAGAACTAACAGAGGCTGTAGGGAAGGAACCTCTCGAAGATACGGTTAGAGAGGCAGAGAAAGTTCCGGAGAAACAAGACGCTGTAGAAGAACTAGCACCAACTGTTGATGAGTCTGCCGCTACCAGTGACGAACCAAAAGAACAACTTGCTGAAAAACTTTCATCTGAAGCACAAGAAGAACTAACAGAGGTTGTAGAGGAGGAACCTGTCGAAGCAACGGTTGGAGAGGCAGAGAAAGTTCCGGAGAAGCAAGCTGTAGAAGAACTAGCACCAACTGTTGATGAGTCTGCCTCTACCAGTGAGGAACCAGAGGAACAAGTTGCTGAAATACCTTCCTCTGAAACGCAAGAAGAACAAACAGAGGCTGTAAGGCAGGAACCTCTCGACGATACAGTTACAGGGGCAGAGGCGGTTCCGGAGAAACAAGCTGTAGAAGAACAAGAACCAATTGTTGATGAGTGTGTCTCTACCAGTGAGGAACCAGACAAAGAAGTTGCTGAAAAGTTGCCTTCCGATGACCACGTAAAGCTAGCAGAGGCTGTAGTTGAAGAACCTTTCGGTGATACAACGAAAGCAACAGACACAGCTCCAGTGGAACGAGTAGCTATAGAAGATGATGTATCTGTTTCCGTCAGTGAAGAACCAGAAAAACGAGCTGCCGAAGCGGTACCTTCTGAAGAGCAGGAGGAGGTTACAGTGGTTGGGGTAGATGAATCTCTTGAGGATACAACAGAACCAACTGATACTGTTCCGGAGGAACGAGAACCTGTGGAAGAACAAGCACCAACTGTCGATGAGGCTGTTTCTATTAGTGAGGAACCAGTAAAACAAGTTGCCAAAACAGTGGCTTCTGATGATCAGGAACAATTAACGGAGGCCGTGGCAGAGGAACCTATTGACGAAACAACAAAAATAACTGACACAGTTCCGGAAGAACAAGAAGCTGTGGAAGAGCAAGCATCAGCTGTTGATGAGTCTGCATCTATCAGTGAAGAATCAGAAAAACAAGCTGCTGAAACGGTACATGCTGCAGAGCAGGTAGACGTTACTGTGGATGTAGTGGATGAGCCTCTCGAAGAAACAACAGAAACAACTGATACAGTTCCAGCTGAACAAGAAGATATGGAAGAGCCAGCACCAGCTGTAGATGAGGCTGTTTCGATCAGTGAAGAACCAGAAAAACAAGGTGCTGAAACGGTACCGTCGGATGATCAGGAAAAGATTACCGAGGCTGTAGTCGATGAGTATCTCGAAGATACTGCAGGAGCAACTGATACAGTTCCGGAGGAACAGGAAGCTATAGACCAACAAGCATCAGCTGTTGATGAGTCTGCATCGACCAGTGAAGAACCAGACAGACAAGTTGCTGAAACAGTGCCTTCTGATGTTCAGGTAAAACTAATTGAGGCTGTGGTGGAAGTACCTATCGGTGATACAACAGAGGCAACTGATGCCGCCCCCGTGGAGGAAGCTATAGAAGATCAAGCATCAGCTGTAGATGAGGTTGTTTCTATCAGTGAAGAACCAGAAAAACAAATTGCTGAAACGGTACCTTCTGAAGAGCAGGAAGACGTTACAGAAGCTGGGGTGGGTGAACCTCTTAAAGATACAACCAAAACAGCTGGTACACAACCAGAAGATCAAGTGGCCATAGAAGAGCAAACGGCAGGTATTGACGAGTCTGTTTCTATTATTGACGGGCCTGATACACAGGTTGCTGAAACTGTGCCCTCTGAAGAAAAGAAAGAAGTAACCGAGGCTGTAGTGGAGGAGTCTCTCGAAGATACAACAAAAGATACTACTATGCCTCCACAACACCAGCAGCCTCTACTTGTTACAGAGGAGTCTGGTTCGGTGGAGGTAGAGCCAGAGAAAGTCCCCGCTGAAACACTTCCTTCTGACGTCATGGACGAGGCAACAGATATTGAGAAAGAGGAAGCTCTTGAAGACACAGCCGTGATACCTTTCACAGCCCTACCTGATCAGATGCGTATAGAACAGCAGGCGCCCGTCGCAGATGAATGTATTTTCGTGAAGGATGAGGAGGAAGAAAATGAAGAAGAGGAAGATAAAGGTGATGAAATAGTACCTTCTGATGAACAAGAACAACTAGTAAAGGCTGATGACGGAGATATTCTAGATGAGACAGTCAACGAATGTTTACCAACACCAGAAGACCAGGAGCTCGTGGCAGATGAGGTAGCAATCACAGAAGAGGCTGTACTTATCCAGGAAGAGCCTGAGAAGCAACCTATTGATGAAATTATCACTTCGGAAGACCTCGAAGAAATCACAGCGGCTGATGTGGGAGATCTTCTAGAAGGTTCGGCAACAGAGAGTGATGCCGCAGAAGATCAGGTCCCTGTAGAACAGGAAGTGGCAGATACAGATCAAGCTGTTTCTTCTCAGGAGGAGCCAGTGAAACAAATTGAAGAACCAGAATGCTCTGATGTTCAAGTAGAACCCATAGAGTCTCGGCAAGAACTCGTTTCCGAAGATACAGCAGAAATAACTGATAAAGTTGTGGCAGTCGATGCTGACATCTGCGAAACAGCAGCAGTAACAGAAGAAACTATTTCTGTTCAGGAAGAGCAGGCAGAGCTGGTCCATGATACAGTTCTTTCTGACGATCAAGATAAACTAATAGACTCTGATGAGAAAGTACCTGCCATAGATACAGCAGAAGAAGAAAGTGCAAGTAGTATCGCTGCAGACCAGGAAGGCATAGAGGAGGTATTACCAGTTACTGAAGAACCAGTTTCTGATCATGAAGATCTAGGAAAACAGGTCACTGAGGCTGTGCCTGCGGCTGATCACGGAGAAGCCATCAGTGCGGCTAAAGCAGACCTGCCAGATGCAACAGAAGCTGAAACAGGTCTACCATACCAGGAAGACAGGGAGTTGGCAATGACAATTACAGACGAGCCAGTTCCTTTACATGACGAATCAGGAGAACAGATAACTGAGACCGGACCTGTTGAAGATGGGGATAGACAACTCGAGGCTGGTGAAGATGTGCCTTTCGAAGTAGCTCATCTGACAGAAATACCTGACGTAGCAGCTGCACCCCCACGGGACCGCTTAGCGGAAGAAGAGGAGGAAGAAGGTACGGAAACTCCTATGGCTCTCTCTCAGAAAGCAGATGCAGATGATGTGGCTACCGTATCAACTGAAGATCAGGAAAAGCTAGTCGAATCTGATAAAGTAGAACTGCTGGAAGCTACGATAGAACCAACCACCGTACAACCAGAAGTAATGACGGATGCTGAGGAAAGCATTCCACCCGTAACGGAGCCTGTTTCTCTCATTGGGGAATCAGATGAACATGTTGCTGAGACCGAATGTTCTGAAGTTCAGGACAAACTTGCCGTTGCAGTTGAAGCGGAACTTCTCGACGACACCTCAGATGATAATAAACCAGCTACAGACAGTCCGGTGGCTATCAAGGAAGAATCAATCGTCACAGATATGCCTGAACCAGAGGTTGTTGATACCGAGCATGTTGAGGTTCAGAAAGAACTCGATAAACCAATAGATCTTACTCCAGCGGAATCCCTGACAGCTCTGACGGGTCAAGAAGATATAGAAGACATGGTAGTCGTTCCAGAGGAGTCTATTGATATGCATGCAGAAGCAGAAGAGCAGGCTACTGAGACCACACCAGCTGAAGTTCAGGAAGCAGTCATTGAAGCAGGAGAGCAGAAACCACTTGAAACTACAGCAGAGGAAACATCGAGAGCAACCAAAGACATTGTGGCTATAACTGGGACAGTGGCCGTTGCAGCGGAGGCTGAGCCTGCGCAGGAAGAACTAAAAGATCAAGTAGCAGAGGTTGAACCTGTTGACGCTCAGGCAGAACTGAGCGATGCAGGAGAAGCACTCGATCAACCAACTGAGATGGAGGATGACACGGGTAATGTTGCAGACAAAGGTGCCGAGGTCCTTGCAGCTTCATCATCTTATGATTACACAGCCGAGGAGATCCCAGATATCGATCAATTTCCAGAAGAGGAGCTACCCGATAACGACGCTGATGATCACGCAAACGATGTTGATGATACAGAGGAAATGAAAGCCATTAGGCCCTTCCCTCTTATTGACGAGGATGCTTTTCTAGAGGCAGTGTCTGACGAATCATCCCCGCAAGAAGCAGAAAGTTCTTGCACTCCAGAAAAGGGGGTATCTACTGGAAGTTCGGTGCCAGATACCATAAGTGGTTTGGACACAACACCTTCAGGATATTCTGAAGATGAAATGGCCTGTATTCTACAAACTGCGATAGACGAGGCAATATATCAAGCGCAACGAAACCAAGCAAAGAAATTGCTCGAAACTGATACAACAGATTTAACAGAGAGTGATTGCTTAGAAACAGTTATTGAACGTGAGAAGCTTGAGCTTGACGAGAAAGATATAACAGATATGCCAGCCGAACTTGATGATACATATGGCGATGAAGGGCCGGCAGCAGTCGGAATCAGTCCTGATGTTTTTGAACATGATAAAGCACTTGCTGAAACTCAAGAAGCAGATGTAGATAGAGGTGCCCACTCTAATAAGGTCATTGAAGAGGTTTTACCTGCCGAGAAACATGATGTAGAAGGTAGATTTGAAGATGTAGAAGTTGAGAGACCCGCAAGTGACAGTAGCAGTGATCTACCTGACTTAGACGAGTATGTTATTGTGCCAGAAGAGCCATCTGAAGCATCCGAACCAGCAGCAGTGCAAGACATGTCCTCAGATGTAGAAGAGCAAGACCGCGAAGGTAAGGAACCAGTGCAAGAAACTTGCGTAGAATCCAAATTATCCGAAATTACACATTCAGAAAACCAGGTATTTCCCTCTGATGACGCGGCTCAGGAAACAGACTTCGACGCTAACACAGGTAAAAAGGACGCGTTGCAGGTTAAGTTTAAGGAGGTTGCAGACATCATTGCAGATGTGGCAGCGACGTCGGAGGAGTCATCCGATGAAGAGGAGAGATTTGTTATTGTGGAGGAAACCTCTGACTATGAGATGCTTCAGCGAGAGTACATAGAGCAGCCAGGTGTTGATATTGAGACTATAGTCGGCAGTGTGGAGGCAATACAGGAGGGGAAATTGGAATACGCCATTCTGGACGATACGACAACAGAGACCGAATCTGAGGAATGTATTACGACAGAAAACGATCGCAGGGTAGACTTGCTCGAGCCTGCAGATGTCGGATTTGAGGAAATTATCGAAGGTAGTTCTACGCAAAAAGATGAAGGAAAATCATTGACATCAGAACATGGTGACGCACTCACTGACGGTTCGAAACCTTTGACACTGACGGCTGATGACGTGACTGATGTTACTAACCAATCAGAAATACATACGGTCCAATTGTCAAGCCATTCTATCGCCCAGCAATCTGAGCTGAAAAGTCTCGATATCAAAATGTCTGAGGAATTCTCAGACGTGGTTGTAGTGACCAGCACTGCAGACGTCGAAGTAGATGAAGCTGGTGCTGTCGAGATGCTTCTTAATTTTGAAGTACCAGATGACGAGCAGGTCGACGCACCCGAAATCGCACTCCGAGAAATAGAAGCTCATGACAGTAACGCAGTTACAGAATCGCACTCTTTTCCAGAAACGCAACCACTTTTGACCGAAAAAGAACCAGACGGTCTCGGTGCCGAGATAGAGGAAATTCAGGTCACTGTCGAGATATCGTCGGACGTGTCCGAGGAAGAGTCAGAACACATATCGTACGATCAAAAACACGAATTCGTTCGCGTGGACGACCAACATTCTGTTAGCAGTAGGAGCAGTCGAGGTTCACGTAAGGCTGAGCACAGACATGGTGCTGTTGTGAAGACAACAAAGCATGAAGTAGAGAAGGAAAAGGTCACAGATTATAAGGAAGAGCAGATATACAGAGAGGTGTACGAACACACAGAGTCGGCGTCAATAACGTCGTACGAAATAGAGGTTAGTGAAATGAGTGACGGAAATTCCACCGACCTAGACCAGTATGACGATCTGAGAGATCAGGTAGTCGAGCCAGGTGACTTTAAAATCTATGAGCACACAGACCCACTAGTTCACATTAGCGTAGACATAGGCACACCAACACAGCACGAGGTACATACAACACGCGAAGAGGTCGAAATTAGAGAGTCGGTGTCGACCACGACGAATCTCGACACGCAAAAAACAGATCAGCAGTATAGGTCAGACACGGGCGAACTCGCAAGTCAGTTCACCGAGCTTCACCGCACCGAGGTGGTAAGGCACCCCGATAAGGTCACATTCGAGGTGAAGGACCCTGTCACTGTGACAGAGTCCGAAACGGCGGTGAGCGGTGGTGCGGCGGAGGTCTACGACGTCTGCGTGCTGGCCAGGAAGCGGGTGAGGTCCAGCAGAGTGGACGAGAGCAGGACGGTTACCGAGGAAAGCTCCGAGGTTTTCGCCAAGACAGGTATTTAGGCACGCGAGCGAGCAGTGAGCATGCGATGCACTGCTGCTCCCAGCCAGGCATGTCCGACGGCGATGCCCCAGCTCTTCTAACATGCCGTGGTCATGTTCGTTGAAGACAGCTGTTGCTTGCACAGTCGTCTTCTGTTTGACTAATACTGCGTGACGCTTATGTAGGTTGTGTTCGCGAGCACAGGTACATGGCTACGGTGAGGCACGGTGTGTTGTGTGAGTGGCGTGGGGGTATTAGATGCGATGGAGTGTGTGGCGAGTGTTTGACTTCATGGATTGTCGCGGGATAATGGTAAGTTGGATGGCGTGCTGCTTATTCTTTGGTGCTCGTATATATTAACATTATCGAACATTGGAGAAATGTGGCTGTTAACCATGTTTGCAATTGTAGATTTTTCGTACAGGTTTTCAGGTTAACGAGATATTGGTGTTTAGATTTACTAACCCCTGCTAGTGAGTTTTTTATTGCATGCAGATTTTTAACTATTGATGTTTGTGGTGTGTTTTCTTCCTTCATTCTTTCTTGATTCATTAGTATTACATTGAATGGACACCATATGAATACAATGTATTAAATGAAACACATAACGTCATTTTCCACAAGGTCGTGTAGAAACAATCTTACAAAGACATTGCTATTGACACTGCCATTACACATTTGGGTGTAGCTTATCATACGTGTGTGCGTGCGCGTGTGCGTGCGTGCGTGCGTGTAAATGTGTGCGTGCGTGTGCGTGAATGTTTTAATGCGTGCATGTGCAAATACGTACGTACGTGCGTGCGATGAACGAATTCGAACATGCTCATACAGACTCAGCATATCGCAAACTTCACGCAAACGCTTTCAATGACAGCATCAGGCATCAGTGTGACCGATAATAATTACAGGCAGAGAAGATGAAATCAAAACAGAGGCCGCTCGTCGGTCACCGTCTCTCTCCCCCGCCTCCTCTGACGACGAAGACGACGAGACAAACGGCGCGAATTTAAACGCCGAGCGGCAGCGCGCGTACTCTAGCTCATCACTGAGCAGCGACGATGACCGGCCGCCGGCGACGCGCACGCAGACGTCGATAATCGACGTCACCGACGACGAGGAGCTCGATCCACGGCTCGAAGCCGACATCGTTCCCGTCGTTGAAACGCCGAGCACAGAGCACCGGCCGTTGCCCGGCGAGTCGCTGTCCGACTCGGAGTGGCCGCCACGCAGAAAGGCCAGGGTGGCGGTCGAGGTCGCCGACGACGACGCCGACGACGGGTCGCGTCCGATGGAGCCCGTCATCGACGAGCCACCGTCGAGGCGATCCTCGGCATCGATATCCTCGCGGTCCTCGCAAGGTACGTGAGACGCTTCACGCGCCGCCTCTCTACGAAGAGAGCTGCCCGCTTCGTGCAAGAAACCACGGTCGCGCGAGCGTCTCGCAAATATCACGCTTCGTCGGCAAGGCTGGCAGTACGCATGCAGCACGCTTGCAGTACTCCTGCAGTACGTAAGCAGTACGCATGTAGTACGGCTGCAATACGCATGCAGTACGGCTGCAGTACGCCATGCAGGTAAACTGCTAGGGTTCGCGTGAATAGCGGTGCAGAGATTTTTGCAACAACAGTGACGAGGATCGTGAGCTGCACCTGCGTGATCTTTTTCATACTGCTGTTGAAAAGCTTCGTTGTAAAGCTAACTTCATACTGGATGACTCACATGCTTCATATATCCACACGATATATATTGCAATGCTTGTTATAGTGCAGTAAAGTCTGCAATACGCATCGTCACAACGTTGCCATCGTATCATGAGATCTTGGCTAAACGTGACATACATGTGCTGTAACGACTAAGGATTCACACAATTTATCATGCCTGCTGACACAAACGCAACATATCTGCCAGATTATAACATGATTAGATATTGCTTATTGAAAATAGTTGTTTCTTTCCCTTGGAGTTTTATTTCGTTGTAGTTACGTGGTTTTATTTGCCCATTTTTATGCATGCATGAATGCACAGCAGGGGTAGTCTCTTTACGTTATTCCTCTTCACGCACCAAACTTTTCTTACAGCAAGGTTGACACAAACTGGCTTCCTCTCTCGGGCAGATGGGTTTGCACATTTGACTTGCAATGTATGCACGATTTGTGGCTGGTGATGACGAGTACCTAATCATCTAACCGTTTTCCCAAGTAGCAGAGGAAGAGACTCCCGGAATTCGAGTAGAATCACCTCGGCCAGAGAGCATTTCGAGTGACAGCGATCACGCCTTGCATGAGGAGCATGAACCCAAAGGTAGTTACACTAACACGTAGCCAGTACCATGTAGATGGCGCCACTGTAATGTTTTTAGTTAATGTTAGCCTACTGAGGTAACAAATCTAACTATACTAACATTAACAAGCAATGTTTAGTGGAACAGTTAACATTTGTGTGGCGGAAATTCATGTACATTGAGCAACAATTATTAATCTAATAAGCACCTGGTTTGCGAATATATTTAGATTGTGAATAGGATATTTCCGGTTGCCCTGTAATGAAATACCTACCTTTGAGCTGTGGCCTAAATAATGTTAATGAATGCATTGTGTTCTACTTACTTTACAACTGTATAACTTGCTGGTGCTCGTTACATTCAATATTCACGTCTTTGCAAGTGAGCTTATTTTAAGCATAGGCTATTATTAATCAGTCATGTTCATATTTACTGATTTTTTAATAGCTTATGGTAGGTTGACTTGTATATAACAATATTTTATTGGATACTATCATACTTATTTGTTCTGGTGGTAGACTAACATTGGTGTATGGTCATTCTAATATTTTATCAAGCTCACTAACCTACTAACCATAGAATTAACACTAGTTTCTCCTGCGGTACTAATTTATAGATAAGGTGGAGGATAAGGAGGAGGAAGCCAGGAAAGAGACTGACAATGAAGAGCATATATCTCCATATAAGACATCCCCTCCAGAATTCCCCACTGATAAGACATCCCCAACTGATTCCCCATCAAAGTCCCCAGTTCGGTCCCAAAGTCTTGATGAAGAGCCATGCAGAGAAGCAGAATCACGTGATTATGACGCAATTCAGGGAGAGTCTAGTTACGTCGACGAGGCTGAAGCTGAGGAGAAAATCCAGACAGAGGCACGAAGTAGCTTAGCGTTTGACAATGTTGCGTTTGAGGAAACAGACGAAGTTGAAGATATAGCTGTGCATAAGGAACCATCTGCACAGACGGTCTCTTCATTTAAGCATAGTAGAACATACTCCGAAGTCGCTACTGAGGAGACAGAACAGGACATATATGACATACAAGAAATTCAGGAAACGCAAGAGACGCAGGAAGCAGAAGAGGGCGCCTATGGCGAAACAGTAAAGGAAGAACCTACAATGCACAAAGAGGAACACAGAGAAGCAATTGTATACGAGGACACCGATATTCATATTGAAACACGCAGCTTTGAAGAAACCATAAATACAGACGAATATGACCGCCAAATCCGAAGTGCTATATTCGAAGAGGAATGCACCCAGTCCGATGAAAAGTCAAGTCCAGAGCAGAAAGCTCTTGATACAGGTGATGCTGTAGAAAAACAGATTAAATCTAAAATATTTGCTGCGGAAATATATCAACCAATTGACACCTCTTCACCAGAGAGGAAAACATTTGCTGAGGATGAAGACGGTGAATCAATTAGAGAAACACAAATTGATGAAGAAGAGCAACCAAAACAGTTCATGGAAGAAGGATTCCTGTTTCTTGGTGAAGAAGATGAAAGTGATACCAAGGAGTCACCTGACGTTGAACTAACCCCAGAACTACTTAGGGATGTATCGAGCCAGCTTAGGGAATCACCTGACCCTGCGCTAGCAAGTGAATCCCCAGAACCAGAACTAGAATGTCTAGAACAGGAAAGACCATCACCTGATCAAGTAAGGGATTATACTGAACCAGTAAGGCACTATTTCGAACCAGGAAGTGAATCTCCGGAACCAGAAAGAGAATGTCTCGAACTGATACGAGAATCCCCCGAGGCAACACATGAGTCTCCAGAACTAATACAGGAGTGCCTCGGAGTAGTACGCGAGTCTCCACAATCTGTTGGAGAATCCCCTGCGCTAAGTAGAGAGTCTCCCGAACCGCTTAAGGAATCTTCCGAACCGATAAGAGAAGCTGGGGAATCGATTAGAGAGTATTCTGAACCTCTGAGCGAGTCACCCGCACCTCTAAGGGAATCACCAGAACCAACAACAGAATATCCCGAACCTCTAAGGGAATCACCAGAACCAGCCAGAAAATCTCCTGATGCGCCTACATTGCTAACTGAATCACCTGAACTAACTAAAGAATCTCCCGAACCTCTAGGAGAATCACCAGAACCTCTAGAAGAATCACCGGAACCAACCGGAAAACATACTGAAACACTGGAAGAATCTCCGAAACCTCTAAGGGAATCCCCTGAACCGACTGCAGAATCTTTCGAACCTTTGAGGGAATCACCCAAACCAACTAGAAAATCTCCTGAAGCATTAGGAGAATTTCCTGAACCAACTAGGGAATCTCCTGAACCAACTAGGGAATCCCCTCAACCTCTAAGCGAATCCCCTGAACCAACTAGGGAATCCCCTCAACCTCTAAGCGAATCCCCTGAACCAACTAGGGAATCCCCTCAACCTCTAAGAGAATCCCCTGAACCAACTAGGGAATCACCTGAAACATTAGAAGAATCTCCTGCACTGCTAAGAAAATCCCCTGAACCAACCACAAAATCACCGGAAACAATAGAAGAATCTTCCAAACCGTTAAGAGAATCGCCTTTACCTGTCAGTGAATCTTCCGTACATGAGTTGGGAGATTCAGTACCAGAAACTGAAGACGAACCGGTTAGGAAGTCCCCTGAAGCTCATGACGTGTTGGTGCTAGCAGGAGGAGAGGCATCCAGTCTCCCTATAATTGTACGAGACTCACCTCAAACAGATCAGAGTGATCCCGTTGAATCAG